GTCTTCCGATCCATGAGCATGGAATATTCTTCCATTTGTTGAGGTCTCCCTTCATTTCTTGTAGTAGTGTTCTGTAGTTTTCCCCATATAGATCTTTTATTTTTTTGCATGATTTTATTAAAGACTTAATTGTCTCTGTTGCCAACTGTGTTCATGTGATGGTGGTTGGTGGTTTGTTGTGCATTGGTCTTTTTAAAGGGCTTGCCCACAAGCGTTAGTCTGTTCCGTTTTATCTAATCTGGAGGTCTCAAATACTTCTAGAATGTCTTCTTCGGAGGCAGGCACGGATCTAAATTCATTCCCACGCCCTGTGCATGCCCCCATACCATGAACTCAAGGAGTCACAGTGTCTCCATGGAGTCAGGGAGTGTCCTTCCCCCGACGCCAAAGCCCAGAGACTCGGATTCATTCCTGGCATCTTCGGTGAGCCCAATCAGGCAATTTCTCTGTTCAGACACCAACACCAACTATTACCTACTCGAAGTTTAGGACACATTTCTATCCCCCACCCAACCTAAATTGTCTTGGCTATTATTATTCTCTTTCATGTCAATTTACCAAATTTCATCAAAAAATGATCTTGGGATTTCAGTTAAGTGTGTGCACAGCCATTATTGGTGAGCTTTAGGCTCGTGGCTCTGTTACCACCTGGACGTCCCCACTCCCAATCAGGCGATCTGTGCACATTTAGTCAGGTCTTCTCTTCCACTCTTCAGTTTCTTTGTGAAGCCCTCGCCCACTTCTCTCGGGGTTTATCAGCTGCTCTGAGGCAGAGAGAGGAGGCTTTCTACTCCCAGAGTTAAGTTTTGGAAACCCACAGGGACAGTTCTACTCTGTCCTACGGGAGTATTATGCATCGGAATTAACTTTATGGCAGTGAATTGTTTGGGCTAGTTTGAGTGTAGAGTCCAATCCCTCTCAGCCCCCTCTGCTGTTCTCAGCCCTACAGAGAGGGTCTACTGGGTCCTATTTTGCCGTGCTGTTGGGTGCAGCCAGGCTGGCCTCAGAGACACAGAGAGCTGCCTCGTTTAGTTTTCTAAGCTGTAATCTTCTGGGGGACAGACAGCTGGGACTTTCTCCCGCAGAACCGATAGGTGGGTTCACACCACCAGTCTCAGAGAGCAGCCAAACTCCAACCCTTGTGTCACCAGGATTGCTTCCTCTTGCCAACGCAATTATGACTGCTTGCAAGCATTTATCCTTTATCCCAAGTTGCAGCCTGCCTGCATTCCCATTGCTTCAACCGCAGGGTAAGTCCTTAAAGAGACAGCTGGGTTGGATTTTCAAGGGGCCCAGGGTTCAGCAGTGAAGACTTAATTCAGTGATGGGACAGGGAAGAGGTCCCTATAGGCAACAAGTCAGGCTTGGGGGATGGAGTGTCAGGGTGTGTGTGTGTGTATGGGCGGTCCCTGGGGTCTGTTTGTGCTGGTAACTGTTCCTTAGCAGCCTCTTCCATCTCCCCAAGCATCTCCTCCCCCGCTGCCGGGCTTCATAAGGCAAGTCTGCCACATAGTCAGTCCCCTGTGACCTAACTCTTTGAACCTCAGGTTTCGCAACTAAAATGAAACTTGTGGCCGCAGACTCTGACTCCTGGCGGCCCCAGGCCTTCATTACAAGGTAGAACCTATCCATAGGGTTTTCTTGGCTGTCATGTTTATGGGAGCAGATCACCAGAGCTTTCTTCTGGGGGTTCAAACCGCCAACCTTTAGGTTAGTAGTCCCCACAAAACCGTTTGCATCCCAGGGGCCTGATGTGTAAGAGAGGAGTAAGGAGCAGCGCTGTTTGTATTCCGGAAGTGGAGGCAGTCACCGCACACACGACTGAAGGAGTTTGCTTTTCCTAAGTCGCTGCTGGTGCATCTCTCAGGGGCAAAGGGCGCAGGTAGAGAGACTCTTCTCGTCTCTGGGAAGCTCAAAAGGTCTGAGGCGGGCAGGAAAGGGCGTGTGGCTGTTCACGTGAGGCACACCCATGAAAGATGGCTAGGGTGGCAGGCCCAGGTCCCACTGGAGGGCTGCAAAGGTCACTGGGTAAGGACAGTGCTCAGAGGGACCAGGGCTGCTGCTGTCATCCAGGTGAGATGTCGAGGGCCACGGGCTCCAGCACACCTGTGGGCAGCAGCCTGAGCGATCTTTCTGAGATCAGAGCATCATGGTCTCAACAGCCTCCCCACCTCCCCATACTTGTGCCAACAGGGAGGAGAAAATAACTGCCCATCTTACAGCGACAGAGGCCCAGAGAAAAGAAATGGCTCGTTCTTTTTAAAGCAGGACAGCAAGGGTTCCGGTGACAAGCGAGGAGGTACTTGGTCAGCCATCACCCTGCCAAGGTCAGGGCATGAATCCCAGTTCTGATCTTGACCCCTCAGGCCAGGGTCATACGAATCTTCCTCCTCTAAGGAGTCATCTCTGCTCAGCAAGACCACTAGGCTTGTTCTGCAATGTTCCCCTCGATTGCTCATTACTTATGGTAGTCTGTCCACCCATCAGTCTATCCTTCAATAGCCAGTGAGCCCCACCTCGTGCTTGGTCCTGTGCCAGGCAAGAGGCTGCCAAAGACGGCCGAGCACGTCCTTCATCAGAGGGGGTACCTCGGGAGTAGAGAAGAGATGGAGACCTAAAGCACCAGAATATGAGAAAACGTGCTGTCACTAGCTGGGCCAGGAAGGTTTCCTGGGGGAGGTGGCATTTCCGATCTCCGGATCTGGGACAAAGGAAAGATGGGTGTTTCCGGGCTTGTGAAGCCTATGGGTAAAGGCATGGAGACAAGACGGTGGTCCAGTCTGGCAGGTCTGTGAGAAGGGGGCCGCGGGCACTCACCATTCAACAATCCGTCAGAACATTGACTCTGTATGGGGCTCAGCTCAGCAGGACAGACAGTGAAAGGAACCCTCAAGGAGCATCTAGTCTGGTGGGGAACGACAGGGAGCCCAGAGGGTAGCGTCCACCTGATTGAGACTGGGAGGTCAGGAAGGGCTTCCTGGAGAAGGTGATGCTAAGCTGGGCATTGAAGGATGTGTAGGAGTTCACTGGGGAGAGAAGTCAGGGATGAGCATTCCAGGTAGAGAAGAAAATGGCCCAAAATGCCACCAAGTTGATTCTGACTCAGCGAGACCTCATAGGAGAATTGCCCCCATGGGTTTCCAAGACTGTGAATCTTTAAGGGAGTAGAAAGCGTCGTCTTTCTCTAGCAGAGTGGCTAGTGGTTTCAGACTCCTGAGCTTGCAGCCAGCAGCACAGAGCACAGGCCACCATGCTGCAGGGCTTTGTGCACAAACCAGAAGGCAGGAGCGCACGGCCGCCTCTTCCTTGGGCACCATGGCATTTCCCTACTCCTGCCTTGGCCATCCATCAGAGGTCTGGAAACCCAGGACCGACATCCTCTGCTCTACAATAACAGAAACATTAGTTTTACCAGCAGGCCCTGGTCCTGAGGTCGGGTCTCAGGACCTCTCTGGGGAGGAGGAGCCAGGCTGGGGTAGGCAGTACCGAGAGCGCACACATATAGACACATGGCCCCAGGTACAAGTACTTTATTTCAATTACATAGTGCCACACCCAAACTACAGTAGCACAAAACACGAGAATACAAAAAAATATCGATTCCCAGCAGCGAGTCCCAGCGGCAAGGCCCGCGGTCATATACCTGCAGAAAGCCACGCTCTGGCTCCTTGGGTCCAAGGGGAGGGGTCTCTCACTTCAACCTTCTTCAAGCTATGTGGTGGGAGTGGTGTTTGGGGGCCTTCCCTTGTGTCTGTCCATGCTGGGGCTGACCCCTCTCCTCCCCCTACTTCCCACCACTCCTCTGCCAGTCTCAGCAACCACTGACTTCCTACAGTGACTCAGGTGGGACCCTTGCTTCTGGCTGCAAGGTGTGGTGCATCTTCTCTGAGAGGTGGGAAGGTGGGGGCAGCATAAGCTCGGCTGGGAAAAGCTGGCTGCTAGGTGGAGACAGGTGAGCGGCAGGCCCCTGGTTCCTGTTTACTCTCCCTCTGAGAAGCCCCCAGGCCTGCCACTTGGGAGGGCGCTGAGCGGGGCTGAAGGCAGACAGGGCCGGCACTGAGCGGTTCTCTCCCCTGGGGTGAGGAGGACTGTCTTCCTGGGGGTAGGTGGGGGGTACCCTGGGGGCACAGAAGTGTGGCCAGGTGATCTGAGCTGCTTCTCCAGAGGGCCAGAGGGCTCCATCTGGGGGAGTCCCTGTGCCTCTTGTGAGGAGAAGCTAGGGCTTCTGGGAGAAAGGACATTCTTGCCCCTGCTCCTGGCCAGAACAGGATGGAAGAGCCTTCCCCTCAGCCCTCCACAGTTGAATGCATCCTCCACAAGAGTCCAACAGCTGCAGGTGCTTTCTGACTCATGCCAAGGGGACAAGCGTGGGGCGGCGCTCGGGGGGAAGCTCAGCACTGGCTCGGCCTCCTGGTCTTCAGGGCCACTGAAGTCCAGGCCAGAGCCTCTTGGCCGGCGAGAGGCGGCAGGACAGTATAGGCACGGGGAGAACAGGGTATGGCCTTGCCTTTTATCAAGACACTTGGGGGCTTCACTGAGGGGGCTGAGGGCCTCTGAGAGAGGCGGCCCAGGGACCACAGCCTCCAATAAGGCACTAAGAGTGGAGGGGGGGCTGGCCAAAGTCCTGGGAGCCAGGCCAGTGGGCAGGGACCGAACTCAAAGGGAAGACGTGGACCCTGTGGCAGATGAGGATCACCTTCTCTCATCTAGCAAGGCCGACCCAAAGTCGCTGAGGATGGGCAACAGCCCCGGGCAGACACGGGAGGACCCAGAAGACTGGGCCGTGCAGGGGCTCCAGGAGTCCAGACCCAGGTGCGTGCCCTAGACAGGGCTCAAAGGCCCTGCCTGACCTGACTCCTCCTGCCTCAGCCATTCCTGCGTCCACCCCAGGGCTCAGACCTTCCTTGCTGGGGGTTACCACTGTGGGACTCTGGGGCCGGGGGCTGCAGTGCCGAGAGCTGAGGCAGAGTGAGGCTCTGGGGCCGGGTCCAGGGGCCTGGCAGTGAGAGAGGGGCAGAGGGACCAGGCAGACCAGTGGAGCCTCTCTTGTCCACAGGCTGTTCAGAAACATGGAACGTAATAAATATACCAAGCCTTTCCTTAACAGAAAAAGAAGGGTTTACAATGTTTTTGTTTTCTCCCTGAAGGTTTCCAGTGTATTCCACAATGATTAAAAACGTTTCCCCAAAAATATATCTTTAAAGCATTTGACACAGTGGTATTTGTGGTATATCTGGTGCTGGATGGGGGCCAGGGGTCTGGCCCACTGCCCTCGCTGGCTTGAGGCACAGGTCTGGGGTGCAGCCAGCCGGCCCCCCACCCCAAATGCCCATGAGCTGACGCAGGTGTGAGTGCCTGGGGTGACAGGGCATTCACAGGGGAGCAAACCTCAGACTGTTTGAGAACCACATCACAGGCATGGTTCCGGCTGAAACCCTCTGGTGAGGGGAAGGGGTGGCCTGGTGGCCTGGCAGTGCCCTGGACGGCGATGGCAGGGCAGATGTGCTGACTTGCTGGCTCTTGGCTGGGGCTCGTCCTCGGGCCCTGCCCCTGCTCTTCCTTCCTCTCTGCTCTTACCAGACTTCACATTTGTGCTGAGGGTTCATGGGGGAGCCGGGTGGGCAGTGGAAGTGTTCTGAGAACTCCCTGGAGTTGGAGACGGAGCCGATGACCCGGAAGCGGGAGGGGCTATGGGGGTCTGTGATGAGGCCTTCGTGGGAGCTCTCGGGTGTGCGGACAGAGCACCAGACCTACATGAGGGCAACAGGGAGAGGTCAGGGTCACTGCGGAGCATAGTGGCTGCCAGACTACCCCAGCCCCGCAAGATCCCACAGAATCAGGAGGTCCTGCCAAGGGGCTGAGAAGCAAGCAGTGGGCTCATGGGCTACTTCCTCCAATCCCAGCATCCTGTTGCAGGCGACTGCAGACCATTCCTTCTGTCACAGCCATCATCTCTGTCCGTCTTAAACCCCAGCCCGTCGCGGTCACGTTGATGGTGCTACACTAGCTCGGGACCCTTGGCTTGAGCCCAGACATCTCATCCGCGGAGGACAGACTGCAGGCTCCCAGAGACTATCCTCTGAAAGCCCAACCTGGAGCATCTTCGGGTTAAGAAAGTTCTACGACCTCAGAATCAGAAGGGACTTTAGTGACCAACCCATCCTCCCATCAGCTGCCTGCTGCAGGAATCCTTTGACTAGCACTTCCGGCCCTTTGCTCCGATGATCGGAAGCTCATGTTCTCACAGTGCAGGCATTCCCGGGGCAGCCCCGGGAGCCAGGAAGCTCTCCTTTCCAGGAGACACTACCTTTTGGCTTTCAGAGGTCTCTAAACACTAAGACAGTGGAAAGGCTCAAGTGTGACTCTTCTTCTTCCTGAACTCACCTGCGCAAACCCCAGGAAGAAGAGCTGGTTGTTGGTGAGCTCCAGTGTGGGCAGCGTCTGCTCCTCCCCGTTCTTCTTCACCCAGTTCTGGTAGGCCTGCGGGGAGACAGAACCCACGCTCTGGGTGCACCGCACAGCAGGAGGGGCAGGCCTCCCTGGGGTCAGGGTCTCAGCTCTGCCCAGAGGAGCCCTACTCAGGGGCTGCCATTGTCCCCAGGGAAACCGCAGTCAACCCTCCAGCTTTCCGTACCATCTGCCTGAGGATGGCTCTCCAGTTTATATCGCCAGCTCCAGCCTCCTCCCCGATTCCTATCGTAGCAGGAGATCCAATCTCAACCTCAATGGGGCCCCAAAAGAATGACAGACGCCTCTCTCGTTCACTCTTACACACACACACACACACACATACACACACACATATTTTCACCATCATACTAAATGTTGCCACCATCCACACACATACACACCCACGCCCCAGCTCAGGCCCAAGTCCCTAGAATTCAGCAGATTCTTCTCTTTCAATCAATCCAAACACCCAAAATCTGACCACCTCTGATCCTGCCTGTCAGCTCTGGCCTCAAAAGCTCTCGCCTTAAGTCTTCTGAACTCAGGTGAGTCGATTCCAACCGCAACACAGGTGATCTTTACAAAGCAGGGCTGGTAAACCTTTCTGGTGGAAGGCCAGACCCTGGCAGCTCTGTGGGCCACACAGTCGCCGTCACAATCACGCAGTCCTGCCCTAGCAGCACCAGAGTGGCCACACACAGTCCGCAAGCAAACAGAGCAGGAACACTGTACTTAACAGACACAGGCTGGAGCTGGCCCACGGGCTTTATGGGCTGAACTTCGTTGGAAAGGGTATATCATCCTTCTCATCAAACCAAACCTCACAGGGTTCCCTGTTGCATCCAGAATGAAACCAGCTCCCTGCGGAGGCCAGGTGCCCCCAGGTCCCACCTCTCTTCCCAGCCCTCTCCCGGCCTCTGGGCCTGGCGCTGCTCCCCGCCCTGGCACTTGCTACCCCATTTGCTGAGACCCATCTCTCCCCGCCTCTTCTGAACCACTTAAGTCTTTGTCCCTTGTCTCCACCAGAAGGCCAGCAACGAACCCCTCCTTCGCCCCTGCTGCTCGTGATTACCCCCTCCTGTTAGACAGTCCTCATTCTATCAACACCTGAGGGGAGCTTATTTCTTGGTTTAAGGATTTCTTGACTATCCGTCCCCCGCTACCACCGGCAGCGTTGGGAGAACAGGGCTCGTTTGCAGTGCATTCCCAGGGCCTGCAGTTCATGGTGGGCGGAAGGCTCGTTGTGTGTTCTCTCCGACTGGTGGATTTCAGACATGTGAATGAAGGCTTCTGGGATCAGCTTCCCCACCTGTGAAATGGGGGTTCCAGTATCTGATGGTGAGGCCGTTCGGGGGTCTGCAGTACAGAGCCTGGCCAGTCTTCAAGATCTCAAAACCGTGCGGCTGGGCCTTGCTGCTCTGGCGGGGGGCCCTGTACTCTCCTCCTGAGACTCTCCCTGAGACTCTTTTGTAGCCTGTTTTCAGTCCAACTCCACTAAGAGTTCCGAATGCCACCCTGGACCAGGTCCTAGGCCGGCTCTCTGGTCTCACTGTACGGCCCCAGGGAGGCGGGGGCTACAGGTTTACAGCCTAGTCCACAGAGGAGAGGATGGCCAGAGCCAGGCCTATTCCATGTCCGAGGCCCACAGTGGGCTGACATGGTGGTGTTCTCCCTGAGAGCAAGCAGAGTCCCCAGGCAGGTCCAGCCCAGTCCTTTCCTGTGCCTCTGAGTGCCCAGCTCTGGGCTCAGTCATAGACACAGCTGCCACCAGGCCCATCAGCACCTGACTTGCCAGGAGTGTCTGCACGCTTGTCACATCTCGGGGGACTCTTACCCGGTAGGCTGCCTTGAGGCCGCCATTGTCGGCAATGTTCTCGCCCAGGGTGTGGCGGCCGTTGACCGGCTCCCCGTTCACGCTGTAGTTGCTGTACTGCTGCACCATGCACTCTGTCTGCTGCTTGAAGGCCACCACTGATGAGTTCTTCCACCACGGCCGTAGGTTCCCGTCCTTGTCATACTCGCGGCCTGTGGGCCAGCGGGCGCCGGGCGAGGGAAGAGCGGGTATAGGCCAAGCTGCTCCCGTCTCTCCGGTAGCCTCACCTGTCTACCCGCCCATCTACCACAGGAGGCCAAGGAGCCCAGCAAGGGCCTGGGCTGAGGCTACATGTCCCGATGGGACCCTATGGGCGGGTCTGGACTGCCCACAAGAAGAGCCTCTGCCCTTCCGACAAGACCCCCGAGATGGCCAGGGACTACTCTGAGCAGCCCACTGTCGAATGGGCGATGGAGGCAGCACAATTAGCAGATGGCAGAGCCAAGATTTGAATCCAGATCCATCTGTCTCGGGAGCTAAGGCTCTAAAGAGAAGGAGCTGAAGGCAGAGACGGGGAGCCAGGGTAGAGCCTGTATGAAGGGGACCTGGGAGTCTGTACCTTGATCGTCGAAAGCATGCGTCAGTTCATGGCCCACGACGACGCCAATGCCACCAAAGTTCAAGGCCCTGGAGGGGAAGGACATTAAGGTGAGGAAGGTCTCTCAGTCTTGCCCAGGTGTGTGATGCCACCTGCCAGCCCTGGAGACTCAGCTGAGTCCCCCAAGGCTCTGGGAGGACATGACCTAGCCCCGGTCTCCAGTCAGGCCCCTGGGCGGAGTCAGCTGTGGTCAGCTGGTGTCCAGTGGGTGCCAACAACTGTACCAGATGTGCTACAGAACTGCACGGTTCTCACCATGATCCCCAGAGGTAGGCATGATTAACCAGTGCTGTGCACGGGTCAAGTAAGACTTTGCCTAAAGGCCACACGGTCGGCAAA